GGCTGAGGCAGGCTGAGGCTGAGGCTGAGGCAGCTGAGGCTGAGGCAGGCTGAGGCTGAGGCTGAGGCAGGCTGAGGCTGAGGCTGAGGCAGGCTGAGGCTGAGGCAGGCTGATGCTGAGGCAGGCTGAGGCTGAGGCTGAGGCTGATGCAGGCTGAGGCTGAGGCAGGCTGAGGCTGAGGCCGAGGCTGAAGGCAGACTCAGGCTGAGGCTGAAGCAGGCTGAGGCTGAGGCTGAGGCAGGCTGAGGCTGAGGCTGAGGCAGGCTGATGCTGAGGCAGGCTGAGGCTGAGGCTGAGGCTGATGCAGGCCGAGGCTGAGGCAGGCTGAGGCTGAGGCCGAGGCTGAAGGCAGACTGAGGCTGAGGCTGAAGCAGGCTGAGGCTGAGGCTGAGGCAGGCTGAGGCTGAGGCTGAGGCAGGCTGATGCTGAGGCAGGCTGAGGCTGAGGCTGAGGCTGATGCAGGCCGAGGCTGAGGCAGGCTGAGGCTGAGGCCGAGGCTGAAGGCAGACTGAGGCTGAGGCTGAAGCAGGCTGAGGCTGAGGCTGCAGGCTGAGGCTGAGGCTGATGCAGGCTGATGCTGAGGCAGGCTGAGGCTGAGGCTGAGGCTGATGCAGGCTGAGGCTGCGGCAGGCTGAGGCTGAGGCCGAGGCTGAAGGCAGACTGAGGCTGAGGCTGAAGCAGGCTGAGGCTGAGGCTGAGGCAGGCTGAGGCTGAGGCTGAGGCAGGTTGAGGCTGAGGCTGAGGCTGAGGCTGAGGCTGAGGCAGGCTGAGGCTGAGGCAGGCTGAGGCTGAGGCCGAGGCTGCAGGCAAACTCAGGCTGAGGCTGAAGCAGGCTGAGGCTGAGGCTGAGGCAGGCTGAGGCTGAGGCTGAGGCTGAGGCAGGCTGATGCTGAGGCAGGCTGAGGCTGAGGCTGAGGCTGATGCAGGCTGAGGCTGAGGCAGGCTGAGGCTGAGGCCGAGGCCGACGGCAGACTGAGGCTGAGGCTGAAGGCTGAGGCTGAGCAGAGGAGGCTGAGGCTGAGGCTGATGCAGGCTGAGGCTGAGGCAGGCTGAGGCTGAGGCCGAGGCCGACGGCAGACTGAGGCTGAGGCTGAAGCAGGCTGAGGCTGAGGCAGAGGCAGGCTGAGGCTGAGGCTGAGGCAGGCTGATGCTGAGGCAGGCTGAGGCTGAGGCTGAGGCTGATGCAGGGTGAGGCTGAGGCAGGCTGAGGCCGAGGCTGAAGGCAGACTGATGTTGAGGCTGAAGCAGGCTGAGGGCGAGGCTGAGGCAGGCTGAGGCTGATGCAGGCTGAGGGTGAGGCTGAGGCAGGCTGAGGCCGAGGCTGAAGGCAGACTGATGTTGAGGCTGAAGCAGGCTGAGGGCGAGGCTGAGGCAGGCTGAGGCTGAGGCAGGCTGAGGCTGAGGCTGAGGCAGGCTGAGGCTGAGGCTGTGACTGCGACTGCTGTTGCCACTGCGACTGCCATCGCGAATGCGACCACGACTGCGAGAACAGCAGAATTCTACAACAGGATTCTTATCTGAATCTTAAGGGGAATGCTTCCAGATATGCTCCTACACATCGCTGTTAGGTTGCTTTGCCGGGATAATATTTTTTCAAGTGAAGCGGCTCATATTTGTTCGAATGAAACGGCCAGATGGCCCCAAGACGGCCCAAGAGGCCCCAAAACGGCCCAAGAGGGCACCAAACAGGGGCCCAGACGGGGGACCCAAACGGACAGTTCGAGTCCTCGGCCCCAGGAAGCACCAAGGAGGCCCCCAGGAGGCCCCAAGAAGCTCCCAAGAGGCCCTAAGAGGCCCCCAAGAGGCCTCCAAGAGGCCCCAAAGAGGCCTCAACACTGCCCCCCGAGGACCCCAGAGCCCTCCGGAGAGGCTCCAAGAAGAATCCCTGAGAAGTCTGACCCACAACCCAGACGGTGGCAAGGAGGGCCAACGAAAAACATGCAAAAAGCCGTGGGGAAATCCGAACACGTCCATTAAACCCATCCACTCCCCTTACGCCCCCCCCTGGAACCCCCCTTAGGGGCTTCGCCCAAAACACAACGTCATCACTCGTACCTCGCTCTTTCCGTTACCTGGGCCCGGCACAGAAACGGAAAGAGCGCTTCAGAAGCAGAGACCGAAATGACTCACACCCCCGTGCGTACTGGGAGCCTTGGCGTTGAGAGCTTATTGCGTCACCCCTCGCTCTCGGGAGCCCTGGTGTTCAGAGATTGTTGCGTTGCCGCCCGTTCCTGAGCCTTGGCTGGGCCTTGGTGTCAGGAACTTGTTACGTCACCGCTCTCTGCTGGGAGCCTTGGTCTTAGCAGCTTGTTGACGTCACCGTTCGCTCTTGGGAGCCTTGGTGTGAAGAGCTTTTTGCGTTACTGATCGCTTTTTATTTACCTAACAGCGAAGACTGATAGGTTTCTAATGGTGTAAAAAGAGAGCAGCACATTACTCCACAGGGGGGTCTGGGCAGCCGTTGGGGGGCCGTTGGGGATTTCCGGGGGGGTCCGCGGAACCTCGTTTTTCGCAAACAGTCACACACTTCGTGCTCTTCGACCTCCCAGAACTCCATTCCCGGGCCACATTCTGAATGCCCGGAGCCAACTGTAGGCCACTTCGTGCTCTTCGAGTTCCCAGAACTCCATTCCCGGGCCACATTTTGAATGCCCGGAGCCAACTGTAGGCCACTTCGTGGTCTTCGAGTTCCCAGAACTCCATTCCTGGGCATGATTTTGAATGCCCGGAGCCAACTGTAGGCTGTGGCTGAGGCTGAGGCTGATGCAGGCTGAGGGTGAGGCAGGCTGAGGCTGAGGCCGAGGCCGACGGCAGCTGAGGCTGAGGCTGAGGCTTGAGGCTGAGGCTGAGGCAGGCTGAGGCAGGCTGAGGCTGAGGCTGAGGCTGATGCTGAGGCAGGCTGAGGCTGAGGCTGAGGCTGATGCAGGGTGAGGCTGAGGCAGGCTGAGGCCGAGGCTGAAGGCAGACTGATGTTGAGGCTGAAGCAGGCTGAGGGCGAGGCTGAGGCAGGCTGAGGCTGATGCAGGCTGAGGATGAGGCTGAGGCAGGCTGAGGCCGAGGCTGAAGGCAGACTGATGTTGAGGCTGAAGCAGGCTGGGGGCGAGGCTGAGGCAGGCTGAGGCTGAGGCAGGCTGAGGCTGAGGCTGAGGCAGGCTGAGGCCGAGGCTGAAGGCAGACTGATGTTGAGGCTGAAGCAGGCTGAGGGCGAGGCTGAGGCAGGCTGAGGCTGAGGCAGGCTGAGGCTGAGGCTGAGGCAGGCTGAGGCTGAGGCTGTGACTGCGACTGCTGTTGCCACTGCGACTGCCATCGCGAATGCGACCACGACTGCGAGAACAGCAGAATTCTACAACAGGATTCTTATCTGAATCTTAAGGGGAATGCTTCCAGATATGCTCCTACACATCGCTGTTAGGTTGCTTTGCCGGGATAATTTCTTTGGGGGGAATCTGTAAAAAAGGGGTCCCCCCAAGACGCTCAAAGAGGGCTCCAGGAGGCGACCCCAAAAGGCTCCAAGAAGCCAAGCTTGTCCCATTCCCGAAGCGGGCTTCCGCAGCGTCCTCGACGGCCCAAACGGCCCCCCAAACCGCCCCAAGACGGCCGAAGAGTCCCACAAGAGTCCCAAGACGGCCCCAGAGAGACCAACGACGGCACACGAGGCGCCCAATGCGGCCGCATCGAAGCCCCAAGAGGGCTTCGAGATTGCCTCAGAGAGCTCCTCAGACCGCCAGCGGGCTCCAGGCAGCCTCAGACAGCCCAACAAGACGCCCCAAGAGCGCACCGAATACATCCTGGAGGCTGTTTGGGAGCCTCTTGGGGGCCCCTTCGGGCTTTCTGGGCCTCCTGGGGCCTCTTGGGAGCCTCTTGGGGCCTCCTGGGAGCCTTCCGCGGCCGAGGGCTCGGTGTGTCCGTTTGGGTCCCCCGTTTGGGCACGCTCTTGGAGCCGTCTTGGGGGCCTCTTGGGCCGTCTCGGAAGCGTTTTGGGCTGCCTTGGGGTCCTCTTGGGCCGTTGTCTGGCCCTCTTGGAGGCCTATTGGGCCGTCTTGGAGTGATCTTGAGGGCCTCCTGCGCCGTCTTGGAGCGGCGGGGAGTGCAACAAAAACGAGAACGCCCAGTTCTTGGAAAAACCAACGGGAAATCAATGAATTTGGCTTCTTGGGGCCCTGTCAGGAGTCCGTTTGGAGACTTCTTGGGGGGTCCTGGAGGCCTCCTGGGCAGTCTGGAGGGCGTGAAGGCGTTTGGGACCGATCGTTTGGCGATTGGGTACCCTCTAGGACTGTCTCGGGGGCCTCTTGGGGCACTCTTAGCCTGGCTTAGTGCTTTCTGAGCCCCCGGCCCCCCCCCCCCCCCGGGAACCCCCAGCGACCCCACCCGGCGGGGAAGGGATCAAAGGGAAGGGGCTTCCCTTCAATTCGATTATGGCATCGCTAGATTTTTCTCTCGCTGACAAGCTTAAGGAGGAGGGTGCAGGGAAAGGGGACGACGGAGACGACGACTAACGGAGACGACGACTCGAACAGACAAGCCCCTCGCATACGCATCACACACGCAGACAGGGTAGACAGATTTAGGGTAGTCAGCACGCAATGGTCGCCTTGATCGGCGGTGTCGAAGTCCCAACAATGATGCTCTTGCACGATTCCGGGCTGCCAGGACGCAACGGTCTCTGTGACCCGCGGCGTGGAAGTCCCAGGAACGGGCTTCCGGCAAGAGTGAGGCCTCTCAGACTTGGGCGCTGCGTAATGGGGGGGTCATAAATGGGGGGGCGGCGAGGGTGGTCCGAAAAGGTACCCAAACGGTACCTAAACGAGCCCCCTGGGGCTCCAGAGGGGCCCGAAAGGGGCACGAAAGGGGACCGTTTCTGACCCCCCTATTTGTGATCCCCCCATTAAGCCACGCCCAACAGACTCGTTATCTCACGGATAAATCCCCACTGCCACCAACGAAGACGACAAAAACAAGAGCGCCCCGGCGGGCCGGGCGGCGCCCTCCCCCCGAGCCAGGCCGTGGAGGAGTCGCGCGAGCGGCGCAGGGCGGAGGCGGCGGCGGCCAGGGAGGTGACGGCCAAGCTGCGCCGGGAGGAGGAGGAGGCGGCCGAGGCGCGTTCTCGCGCCGCTCGCGCTCCGCGGCGCGCGCGGCCGCGGGCGCTGCTGTGCCTTCGGGGAGGGGCGGGGAGGGGAGGCAGGAGGATCGGAGGAGGAACATCGAGGAAGAGAACACGACATACTTGCATGTTTTTGCTGCCCAGGCACGGATCTCCAGCTGTATAGGCGAACGTGTTGGCTTGGCAGAGTTTGCCACGTGTGTCAGTCAGCAACCTGAGGAAGGGCGCTTTGCACATAACACAAGGAACACGACACAAACATGAACGTTTGACGCTCCGCGCGGATTTCTTGGATCCGCGCTTGGGCTCCCCTGGCGGCGCCTCCGGCGCCCCGCGCGGACCTCCATTACCAACCTGGAACATATCCCCATCCCCAAGCTGGGCATCGCCTCATCACAATGCTAATCTTAGGGGTTCCCTTATGTTTTTTGAGGGCACATCGCTAAGATTGTCGTCGCCTTTGGCGTGCCAAGCTCAGGGATAGGGATAAGTTCGAGGCTGGTAACTCCAAAAGTTTATGTGTGCTGTTGCTTCTTCCTCCAGAGAAGGTACCCGTACCGCCGCTGCACTTCCTCGCTTTCGCCGTGTGGTGTTTCCTTGGAGGTCCTCATCGGCACGGCCGGACTCGCCTCGACTTGGGACAGGTCCGGGAAGCAGCGGTATCGCTATCTGTTGGATCTCCCCAGACCAGAGAAGGGTGGAGGATTAAGCGGGCAGGAAGTCGAGGGAAGCGGAGGAGGATAGAGAGGGGCAGGGATGGATGGGGGGGGGGGGGGCGAAGAGGGGGAGGAGGGGGGAGCAAGGGGGGACGAGAGAGGATGGAGATGGAGGGAGTTTGGGGGGGCAAGAGAGAGAGAGAGAGAGAAAGGATGGGTAAGCTAGTCGCGCACGTGCCATATCTGACATCCAATCCCTGCCTCACATCCCTTCCTATTGCGCTGATGTTGTTCTCTATACGCGGGCGCGTGTCACGGCGGTCCTTGAACAACAAGAACAACCACAACAACAACATTCAGCCAAAGACTGCTGGCTCTTATTTGCTGGCGTGCCGTTAAACACGTATATCCCGAACCCTCGATACCAGCCCTCGTCGTCTTAGATCGTACTTCCTCATGGGTATGTCCTTCTTATCTGCAACGTGTGTTTCGCGCGGCCCCTGAGGCAGAGGAAGTGAGGACGGATGGAAGGACAAGGGGCAGGTGGGTTGCTGAAGCGTGCGTCCTGCATGAATCGCGAGGAAACTTCGAGCGATAGTCTGATTCCCAAACAGTTCGTGAGGAATCCATGCCGAGAGCGCGATTCTCGAGTGTCGAGGGCGCGGGGTCTGAATAAATTGTGCGGATATCCCACGCGAGAGCGCGACTCCTGTATACGTTGTGAAGAAGTCCCGCGCGAGAGCGCGATTTGGCGATACATCGTGAGGAGATATCAAGCGGGAGCCTTTGAACTCTCACTATTGAAGAATACGTTTTGTTGATCCCCCCTCCAGTGACCACTGTGTTTTTTTCAATTGAAGTGCTTCCCCTGGGGCTCGCACTCTGTTTTTTCTGTTCCGGGAAAGTCACGGGGCTGAGATTGGGCCCCTGGCCCCCGCTTTACAACAACAACGGCTCCCACCGTACATTTCCCTACAATAGATCCCCGAGCCTCCACACAATTCATGTACGCATCGCGCTCTGGCGTGGGACTTCCTCGCAATTTATTCAGACGATGCGCCCTCGGCGCTCAGGAATCAAGCTGTCGCTGTGGTTTTTCTCACGATTTACTTGGGAATCGCGCTATCGCTCGGGACTTCCTCGCGATTCATGCAGGACCCACGCTTCATCAACCCGCCTGCTCGACCTGGTCGCCTGGGCCCGACTTCCCGACCTGCCCGCTATTAGTCTGCCCACCCGATCTGCCCGTTTGGTTATACCACTTGTTTTTCCCAACCCTCCTTGGTTGGGTATTCGTTTTGAATAGAGCAGTGTGGTCGCGTCCTTCCTCCTCCCGCCTCCCGCCTCTTTCCTGCCTCTTTCTGTCTTGCCTGCGGGGGGCTGCGATCTGTGAAACTGTCGCCACTTTCGAGGCCTGCTGGGGGGTCCTGCATAGAAGGTAATCGCGGCGGATTCAAATTAGACCTCGCCATCCCTGGGGGGCTGCGATCTGTGAAACTGTCGCCACTTTCGAGGCCTGCTGGGGGGTCCAGCATAGAGGGTAATCGCGGCAGATCCAAATTAGACCTCGCCATCCCTGGGGGGCTGCGATCTGTGAAACTGTCGCCACTTTCGAGGCCTGCTGGGGGGTCCTGCATAGAGGGTAATCGCGGCGGATTCAAATTAGACCTCGCCATCCCTGGGGGGCTGCGATCTGTGAAACTGTCGCCACTTTCGAGGCCTGCTGGGGGGTCCTGCATAGAGGGTAATCGCGGCGGATTCAAATTAGACCTCGCCATCCCTGGGGGGCTGCGATCTGTGAAACTGTCGCCACTTTCGAGGCCTGCTGGGGGGCCCAGCACAGTGGGTAATCGCGGCAGATTCAAATTAGACCTCGCCATCTCTGGGGGAGGGGGGGGGCTGCGATCTGTGAAACTGTCGCCATTTTCGAGGCCTGCTGGGGGGTCCAGCATAGAGGGTAATCGCGGCAGATCCAAATTAGACCTCGCCCTCCTTGGGGGGCTGCGATCTGTGAAACTATCGCCACGTTCTAGGCCTGCTGGGGGGTTCAGCACAGTGGGTAATCGCCGCATATTCAAATTAGACCTCGCCATCCCTGGGGGGCTGCGATCTGTGAAACTGTCGCCACTTTCGAGGCCTGCTGGGGGGCCCAGCACAGTGAGGGCCACGGGCAGATTCAAGTTAGATCTCGCCATCCCTGGGGGGGGCTGCGATCTGTGAAACTGTTGCCACATTCGAGGCCTGCTTGGGGGGCCCAGCATAGTGACGCCACGGGCAGACCCAAATTAGACCTCGTTATTCCTGGGGGGCTGCGATCTGTGAAACTGTCGCCAATTTCGTGGCCTGCTGGGGGGACCAGCATAGAGGGTAATCGCGGCAGATTCAAATTAGACCTCGCCATCCCTGGGGGGGGGGGGCTGCGATCTGTGAAACTGTCGCCACTTTCGAGGCCTGCTGGGTGGTCCAGCATAGAGGGTAATCGCGGCAGATCCAAATTAGACCTCGCCCTCCCTGGGGGGCTGCGATCTGTGAAACTGTCGCCACTTTCGAGGCCTGCTGGGGGGCCCGGCACAGTGAGGGCCACGCGCGGATTCAAATTAGACCTCGTTATTCCTGGGGGGCTGCGATCTGCGAAACTGTCGCCATGTTCGAGGCCTGCAGGGGGGCCCAGCACAGTGAGGGCCACAGGCATATTCAAATGAGACCTCGCCGTCCCTGCGGGGCTGCGATCTGTGAACCTGTCGCCACTTTCGAGGCCTGCTGTGATCCCCGTTTTCGAAGTGGCTAGGAGTGCTCAGGAATTGTAAATCATCAGCTTTATCAAGCCCTTTTCCTGTAGTCAGTGTCATGCGAGTCTCCCGCATTCCGTCTGCAGACATATGTAACCCTCGCTCCGTCATCGCCCCCTTATAAAGTATCCTAAACTATTTGCGCCCCGCTTTTGCGCAGGGGTTGGGTACGTCGCCAGGGTAATTTGCTCCTTGCCCCCCTCCTGCTAATCCTCTCCTGCTCCAAAATTCTCCCTCCCCCTTCCACCCGCCCTTTCTTCCCTTGTTTTACGGGCTTCATTACATGCACGTGGCAGGTAAAGAAGGTATACCCACAAGGAGGCACGATTACAGATGACGAGGGCGGGTACCGCGGGTTTGGGATGTGCGTATTGGTTGGCACGTGAGCAGAAAGGAGCGAAAAGTGTAAAGTTATTATTGTTCTTGTTGTATTTCGTGTTGTGAACTGGTGGCCAGGGGCACAGTTAAGTGAGACTCATTTCCCCATGTAAAAAACAAGGTGCGAGCCCTGGGCGGAGCTCTCTTTAGACATGAGAATGCTTTACGCTTCGCGTATCCCCACCAGCCCATCTCACAGCAGCAACTCTTGCGAAGCATGCCGACAGTCGTGTTTTTTCAGGCGTGTGTCCGCTTGGCCCCGCATATCTCCCCTGTTCCTCCGTCCTCCCGCCTCCTTGTACATCCTCCTTGTGGGGGGAGCGGGAGAAGGACGAGGCGGAGGAGGAGGGAGAGAAAGCGCTCCTCGTGATTTGAGTCGTTTGGGGTTTCTCGTCCTGGTGTGAGTCGTTCGGGCCCTTCTTCCTGGTGTGAGTCGTTCGGGCTCTTCGTGGTGTGAGTCGTTCGGGCTCTTCGTCCTGGTGTGAGTCGTTCGGGCTTCTCGTGGTGTGAGTTGTTCGGGCCCCTCATCCTGGTGTGAGTCGTTCGGGCCCCTCCTCCTGGTGTGACTCGTTCGGGCTCCTCGTGGTGTGAGTCGTTCGGGGCCGCGTCGTGGTGTGAGTCGTTCGGGCGCCTCGTCCTGGTGTGAGTCGTTCGGGCCCCTCCTTGTGGTGTGAGTCGTTCGGGCTCTTCGTGGTGTGAGTCGTTCGGGTCCCTCGTCCTGGTGTGAGTCGTTCGGGCTCCTCGTGGGGCCTCTTGGGGGCCTCTTGGAGCCTCTTGGGGCCTCTTGGGGGCCTCTTGGAGGCCTCTTGGGGGCCTCTTGGGGGCCTCTTGGGGCCTCTTGGGGCCTCTTGGGGGCCTCTTGGGGGCCTCTTGGGGGCCTCTTGGGGGCCTCTTGGGGGCCTCTTGTGGGCCTCTTGGAGGCCTCTTGGGAGCCTCCTGGGGGCCTCTTGGGGCCATCTTGGGGCCTCTTGCGACCTCCTCAGAAGCGCAAATGAGCGCTGCCCCCTGAGAAGGACAAAATGAGCCCAAAACCTTTGTAAAATCACTGATTTTGCTATGAAGGAAGATGAGCGCGGCCCCCTTCAGGAGGCCAAAATGGGGCCAAAACCGTAGTAACATTAGTAAAATCAATGATTTGGGCTTCAAAGAAGAGGAGAGGGTTTTTTCTCCCTCCCCCCGTCGGGGCCAGAATCCTCGTGAGGGGTGTCGTTTATTAGCCCTCCCAGGAGTCGAAATTGACCCTCCTGACGACCCGCGGGGCGCCCTCTCCAGGCCCAGGGGGAGGGGGGAAGGGGGAAGGGTAAACCCCTCCCCGAAGGGGAAGAAGGGGGGTTGAGAACAGAGAGGGCTCCCTAAACCACTCACGCCCAACGGTCTGGTGGGATTCCACAGCAACAGCAGTCATGTTAAACATGTTCGCTCTTATCTGCTCGCGGACCATTCAACACGTACATCCCAAACCCTCTATACCCGCCCTCGTCGTCTTCGATCATGCCTCATAGGTTTTTTGTTACATCTGCAATGTGTAGTTGGTGCATCCCCTACGGCAGGGGAAGAGAGGACGGACGGATGGAAGGGACAAGACAAGGGGGAGGGAGGAGGATGGAGCACGAGAGAGAGTAGCAGGAGGGGCGCTGGGAGCAGAAAACACGTGGCAGAACCAGACAGGCAGATTGGGCGGACAGACCCGAACGGGCGGCTCGGGAAGGCGGGCCCGTGTGGCCAGGTCGAGCAGGCGGGTTGAGGAAGCGTGCGTCTGGCAAGAGTCGCGAGAAGGTCATTTGGATAACGGGCGACGCAGCCGAGCCATGTGTCACTTGCTGTTCCCAGGTGGTACGACCAACCCCGGGAGGGAGAGGAGTCTGCATTCTTTTGAAGAGAGCATGGCCGACACATTGTCCAGGGATGTGCCCGGCCCGTTTGCAGCAGGTGGCAACGTCCACGGGCTCACTAGGAGCAAGCAACACTGCAACAGGGAAGGCATGCGATCCCTTCCGAGATTTTGACTGGAAGGCTTAGCCCTGCTCGCCCCGTGTGAACCATGGGCGCAATACCCGGGAACAGGACGTGGGTGGCGAGGGAGACATGGAGGAGGAGGAGGAGTAGGAGGAGGAGGAGGAGGAGGAGGAGGAGGAGGGTTCATGATGGGACCCCGCTGAGGGCACAGCTCCGTGGCGACTCATGCGCGCCTCGCAGCGCCCGGGGATGGCGGGGTCTGGTTCGGTGGGATACCAAGCGAGGGCGAGGACGACGACGATGCATGGGGAGGGGGCGGAAGGGGGGCAGGAGAGAGGCGAGGTGACGACGGAGCAGGGGTTAAGGGAAGAAGGGCCACAGGCAGGCGCCCCCCCCCACCGCCAGCTGCTCCCCGCCCCAGGCGAGGAGAGCACCGCGGCGGCGCAGCTCCTCGCAGCCGCGGGCGACGCCCCCGAGGAAGAAGCGCGGCGGCAAGTGAGCCGTACATGGGCGGGGGCCTTGGGAGTGTCGAAGAAGAGAATGCGCCATGAACATAACCATCACATCAGCACCACATCATCACCATTCAACAACGCGATGATTTTGCACTTGGACGACGCCGTGTCGCACTACGAGTGGCTGGGGTGGACCGCTTCCTCGGTTAGGGAACGCATCGAGGGCGTCGCCGACGAGGCGCTCGACGACACCGCGCGCGCCACCAAGCGCCTCAAGATGTGGCAGCGGACCTGTTTGTCCATCCTGCAGGAGAAGGCGACAGAGGCTTCTGAGCGCTTCTGGCGCCGACTGCTGGAGCGCTGGCACCTCGGTTTTTTGACGCCCGCCAGGCGCGCGCCGCGGGCACAGCAGGTCATGTCCGCACTTCGGACGGCCGCCCCGCCGCGGGTCAGAGCCGCTCTCATGCGAACATGGTTTAATGGATGGTGCACGGGCCGGCGCTTCCAGCAGCGCGGCTCCCGATGTGTGTTCGGATGTGTCCACGAGGACTCCATTGAGCATTATGCGACATGCCCTGTGGTGCGGGATTTCGCGTGGCGGAGCCTCGCCATCCCTCGCTCCACGGCCCCTCTATTTGATTTTCTCCCCCTCACCTCCTCGCCACAGAGTCTGCCCGCTGGCTGCGTTTTGCGTTCGGCTATTCGCACTGCGGCGGTGTATTTGGTGCACTGCCGGGCGAGACACGCGGCAGCGCCCGGAACGCCCACCGCAGCCACGCTTGGACAGACCGCTTTGGAGCTCGTGCGCGGGCACCCGGCCGCGACAGCCGTAGCGCAAGCCCACGCGGGCACGCACGCCCGGCCACGCCGCTGGAGGCAGTCCTGATTCAAGGGGGGCCGTCTGGGCCACAGGACGCCGCCCTCCGCTTCCCCTCCCCCCCTCCTCCTCCTTGTCCTCCTTCCTCCTCCCTCTCCCTCTAATCCGCGCGCGTTCGGCCATGTGTGTGCGTGTGCGAATCAAGGATGCTGCCACACAGTGTACCACTATCTGCGCACATTCTCGCCAGCGTTTAGGAGAACAAGGAGCCCGGGGGGGGGACAGTTTGTTAACCTCTTTTCGGGCCGATGGGGGCAGATAGGTGCCGACAGAATGCACCAGACAATCGGTGGAGTCGAAACTGTGTAGTGAAGTTCCCTGTCACACAATGAGTAGGTTAGCTCCCGCTCATATTGCCGATCCGTGCTTTTTTGGGTGTACCGGCCAATCCTAGCACCAGAGTTCGGGCTGCAACCGCTCAGCACGATATATATGCTGCCTTAATACATGGCTGCATGGTTATGAGTATTGGCATCCCCTACTGTCCTGGCCGCGTGGCCAATAGCGTCTCTGCCTGGGCGGGCTTGGAGCGGAAAAAAGTTCAAAGTTGTACCGCATCCGCCTGGGATATCCTTCCCCCCTCGTCTCTTTCCTCCCGCTCTCGCCTCCCGGAGGCGGAGCTCCGGCTATCCCCTCGGGGTGGGCCGTCTCTTCGCCTCCTCCTGCCTGTCTCCCCCTCACTCCCCCCGTGCACGTCGTCTCACTCGGCCTGGGACGGTGGCCGCTTGCACGTCGCTCTGCAGGAACGTTCCTCCCCCCTTCCGCCCTGCTTTTTCCTCCCCCCCTTCCGCTCGCTCCTCGGATCATGTACTTGTTAATCCGGCCGCGCATTGCCGCGGTATGTGCCGATCCGGCAGCGCACAGAGTCCGTGACATGACTTCCGCTGCTCGCTTCTGTCCCGGCCGCGTGGCCGATAGGCCCATGGGAGTGCTGGCCCATCCGCTACCGCACGGCGGAGGGGTGTTGCTTGGCGCGGCGGCGGAATAGGGCGCGTCTTGGCGCAATCGTGTTGAGTCTGCTTGTCTCCTCTCCTCTCCTCTCCTCTCCTCTCTTGCCGTTGCCACCGCTGCCGCTTTTCAGCCGTCTGCCATCATGATAGCTTGTTGGAGTCGCTCCGGCTGGAGCTGCACTCGTTGGGGATTTCCGAGTGCTTTGGCTTGTCCGCTCTCCTCCCTCTCCCTCCTGTCCTCCTCCTCCTCCTTCTCCTTCTCTCCTCCTCGTTCTTGTCGGGATTTAAAGTTCGCGTGGTCATTCACGGAGCTTGGCCTCCCATAGTTTTGTAACTAACTATGCAGTTTTGCCATTGTCCAAATTCTCCAGTTGCGCGCAACGATTCGCCTATGGCAGGCTGGCCTGAGCGCTGCTCCAGGTGTATTGGATTTCTCCTCCGCCTCTCTCCCCCTCTCCTCCTTCCTCCTCGCCTCCTCCTCCGCTTCTCGGCACCCCCTCGACGGGAAAACAGCCACATTTTGTTGGGAGAGCTTTCTCCTAAGAAGTGGCGGAAATCGCCCGCGTTCCGAGTCCGTGACTCGTGTTTCTGCTCCTGCTGTCCACCAGGGGGGGCAGGATTTGTCCGCCAGTGGCGTTGCTGGCTGATGACGGCGGGTCGTATCCCACGGGCCCGGGGCCATTGCACGATTTTGCTTCCGTCAAAAAAATATCACCACCACCACCAGTACGGCCGCCACCAACAACGTGATCATCATCATCATCATCATCATCAGCATCAACATCATCATCATCATCACAATCGTCATCATCATCATCACCGTCAGCATAAGCATCATAATCAGCATCATCAGCATCATCATCGTTGTCATAATCATCATCAGCATCATCATCACCATCATCATCATCATCAACATCATCATCATCATCATCATCATCATCATCATCGTCGTCTGGAGCTCCGCGCGGATTTCTTGGTTCCGCGCTGGGCCCGGCGGCGCTTCCGGTGCCGCCCTCGGCGCGCCCCGCGCGCCAGGGACGGGAGGTCCAGCGCAGATCCAAGAAATCCGCGCGAAGCGCCAACAGTTCATGTGTATGGCGAAGTTTCTTCTTCTAGAGTGGTTGTTTTCGGGCCTGCGGCGTTCCGTCGCATCGCTGCCTTTTTCGGCCCCGGAAGAGCGCAACACAAGTTCGTCGGGTGGGGAAGCGTGCGCCTCTCTCGGGGCTGCGGCCCTGCGCGTCGACGGTGGCGCAGGGAGGCGGGAGAGTGAGAGAGTGAGAGAGTGAGAGAGAGAGAGGGAGAGAAAGAAATCGTGTGGACAGCTGTTGCATCTGATGAGGCTGCGTAGTGGTGAGAGGTAGGCACGACCGTAATCTCAATAAGACTGAGACTTGTCTGGTAAGCTAAGAGAGCCAGTGACGCCATAACTTTGAAGGCGACTGGGCCGATGGAAACTGGGAGCAAGGGCTGGAAATGAAAGACATCTGGTCGGCTCGGGGAATTGAGAAGCCGAGAAGGCAGGAAAAACAAGGCAAGCAAACGAGGTGATCAGCTGCCCGAGAGGCCAGATGATTGGGAAGGGGGGGGCGCTGGGATGGCTGGAGCGCTGGAGGGCTGGTGTCCGATGGGGGAGCGGCCTAAGAGCCAGAATCGGCGGCGAGCGAGGGCGGGAAGTGAGAAGGGGCGGGCCTTCTCAGAAGGCTCGGAAGCCCCCCGGGTCTTCTTAGAAGGTTTCTAAGCCTTCACCGAAGTCCCCTGAAAACTTCTCAGAAGGGCGCGAGGGTTCCTGAGAAGTGAACAAAAAAGGCCTTCTCCTTCTCATTTCTCATTTCCCCCCCCCCCCCCCCCGCTCGCCGCCGACGGACTGCCAGACGAACAGGAGAGCGCGGAAGTCTGGAGAGTCGGCAGGGAGCAGAGAGCCTCGGGACACGGCTGCGACCGAGACGGGGCCCGGAGACTCTGAGAGGAGGCGGCGCGGGCGGTGGCGGCGGCAGCACATCAGGCGGGACGGTAGCGTGCGCCCTGCTGCCGTCCCCCATCCCCCCTCCCTCCTCCCTCCCTCCTCCTCCTCCTTCCCTCCCTTCTCCCTGCTCCTCTCTCCTCCTCCCTCCTTCCTCCTCCACTTCCTCCTCCTCCTCCTCCGCCTCCTCCTCCTCCTCCCCGTCCTCCTCCTCCTTCTCCTCCTCCTCCTCCTCCTCTTCCTCCTCCTCCTCATTTCCTCCCCCTCCTGCTCCTCCTACTCCTCCCCACTCTTTTCTCCTCCTCTTCCTCCTCCTCCTCCTCCTTCTCCTTTTCCTCCTCCACCTCCTCCCCATCCTCCCCTTCTTCCCCTTTCTCCCCTTCCTCCTCCTCCTCCTCCTCCTCCCTCCTCCTCCTCCTCCTCCTCCTCCTCCTCCTCCTCCTCCTCCTCCTCTTCCTCTTCCTCCTCCCCTTCCTCCGCTTGCTCCCCTTGCTCCTCCTCCTTCTCCTCCTCCTCCTCCTTATCCTTCTCTTCCTCCTCACTATTGTCCGCCTCCCCCCCTTCCTCCCATTGCCTCCTCCTCCTCCTCCTCCTCCTCCTCCTCCTCCTCCTTTTTCTCCTCCTTCTCCGCCTCCTCTTCCTCCTCCTTCCCTTCTCCTCCTCCTCCTCCTTCTCCTCCTTCTCCTTCTCCCTTTCCTCCCCTTCCTCCTTCGCATCCTCCTTCTGTTCCTCCTCCTCCTCATTATTAGTATTGTTATTTATGTTCATTTCTATTATTATTATTAGTATTATTATTATTCTTATTATTATTATTATTATTATGTTTATTATTATTAGTAGTATTATTATTCGTATTATCATTCTTATGTTATTATTATTAGTATGATGATGATTAGTATTATTATTATTAGTATTATTAATATTATTATTAGTAATATTAGTAGTATTATTAGTATTAGTATTAGTATTTTTATTATTATGTGTCGTCCCATTATTCTTCTTATTCTCATTCTTAGTATTCTCTTTCCTCCCCTTCCTCCCTTACCTCCCCCTTTCTCCCCTTCCTCCTCCTCCTCCTCCTCCTCCTCCTCCTCTTCCCTTTCCTCCTCCTCCTCCTCCTCCTGTTCCTTCACCTCCTCCTCATCCTCCTCCTCCTTCCTCCCGTTCCTCTCTTTTCTCTCCTCCCTCTTTTTCCTCCTCCTGCTTCTCCGCCTCACCCCCCATTCTTTCCATTCTGCTCCTCCTGCTCCTCCTCTTCCTCCTCCTCCCCCTCCCCCATCCTCGTCCCCGTAGCCATTGTGGTTCAAGATGATGACCTGGGGGGTTGTTCAGCCTCCAGGCCGCAGGGAGACCTGTGGACCGAGGACAGCCTTCACACGGGCGTCGGGCGCGCGCGCGCGGCACCGCAACAGCCATGGGGCTTGGCGGCAGCGGACGCGGGGCGGGCAGCGCTTGGACGGGGTTCCGAATGGCCAGAGGGCTCCATGGAGGAGCGGGAGGAGCGGCAACGGCAGCTGCCCCCCTCTCAGCAGCTATTTGGTGTGCGACGCGGGAGGTGGCGCCATTGCAGGAACATCGCCAGCAGGGATGACACCTGCATCTGCGGCGCCAGCCTCGCCCACCTCGTGCCACAGGGCCACATCTGCAAGGGCGATGACGGCAGCACCCACCTCCCCCTGGGGACGTGCAGGAGGCAGCGGTGCATCGAGGGTTTCGTGGGCGGACGGTTGGCGGCCAGGAGGAGCAGGCAAGGGGCGAGGAGACCAGCAGCAGCAGCAGCAGTGCCTCTCAGTCACCCTTCAGACAGCCGCAGCCACAGCGTACAACAAGCTCTCCAAGGACGACCCCCTCCGTGTTCATCAGGAGGCACTCTGGACAGAACTGGTGGCAGCTCAGCAAGCAGCAGCCGCACCACCAATGGGACCCAAGGCAGTGGAAGCAGCAGCCAGACGTCTGGACAAATGCCAGAAGAAGGTGCGAGCAGCATGTGAAGCGGTCGAGTGGGCCAAGCAGCATCTGGCAGACAGTGCGCGCAAGCTGCACGAGGCAACAGAGCAGGCAATCGCAGCAGAGGGCGAGTCCGACACGCTCAAGGCCCAAGTCGGCAGGCCAGACCCAGTACCAACTGGCGCAGCAACAGCCGACAAGCCCGTCCTGGCCGCCCTCCTGAAACAGTTCGAGAAGGAGCCCGACGTCTTCCACAAGTGGGCAGAGCCAGAAAAAAAAGAAGCCTGGCGGGCAGCAAAGGCGAAGGGCGAAGCCATGGCCAACAAAGTCAGGGAGTCCGAGGCGGAGACGGCAAAGCACCTGCAGTTCCTTTTCGGAGGAGACGGCCAAGCACCAGGAGCAGCTGCGGCATATGGAGCAGGCCCGCCTCGAGCGCCAGCCAGACGCAGCAGCAAACCAGGCAGAGCGCTCGAAGGGCCCGCCAGAACAGAAGCCTTGCCCGAACCCAGCGCCGCATAGAGAGTCAACAGGGAAGTCGGCATGCGTAGGAGCAGCAGCAGCGGCCATGCCCACTGGCACCGCGGAGGCAGCGGCCACGGGCGAAGCAGCCAAACCAGACACAGGTGCAGGCAACAAAGACGAAGAACGCCGTGACCGAGTGGGTGCACGCACCCAGCAGGCGAGGGACAAGCTTGCCTAGGCCGAGCGAGCCGAGGTCTCAGTCGAAGAGGTGCAAGACTGCGAGCCCCAAGCGTAGTCGCAAGAAGGCTAGCAGGAAGGGGGCTCGCCGCCAAGTCCACGTCGACTCTTGCAACGTCACCGCCTGGGGGCCCCAGGCGCAAAGCTACCTCAAAGAGATCGCCGGTGCCTAGGACAGGGGCATCATCGGTGTAGCGGAGCGCCACCTGCGCCAGACAGCGCGCATCAGAAAGGCCAGAGCGGCCTCGCGCAAGAGTGGGCTACGCAGCTACTGGACTAGAGCGCGCCCAGGAGATGGAGAAGGCACCAGGGGAGGTACCTGCGCTGTCGCCCGCAGCACGTTGGACATTCAGGACAGGATCGCGGGCTGCGACGAGTACTGCCTGAGGGAGGATGACAGCGACATCACTGTGGTGATCTCCAATCTCCACAAGGTGTGCTTCGCGGTGGCCTTCATCTACCTGGAGTGTGACACAGGTCTGGCGGGCAGGGATATCGACTTGCTCTGCGACCCCCGCGAGAAGATGGCAGTCGGGGGGGGGGGGGGGGGCCCTGGGCCGCCATGGGCGACTTCAACAAGGCGCCGTCGGAGTTCAATGACAGCGCGCGGTCCAGGGCGCTAGATGCGCGGGTGGTTGCAGCGGAGAACGAGGCCCCAGCGCGGTTTCCAGCCGAGGGCACAGAGCGCTGCTTAGACTGCGCGCTCATCTCGACAGGCATCGCGCCGCATTTCGACGAGCTGGAACTGACTAGGACATCGCCGTGGAAGCCGCGCATTGGAGTCGCGCTCAAGCTGAAGGGCAGACCGCGACATTTCACAGGGAGAGGCTTGCGAAGGCCAGCGGCAATCAATCCGCCAGTGGACATCGAAAGGGCGCCCAAGTCGCGCGCGGCTTGCCGCGGGGCCGCTCGAGGAGGGCAAGAAGCCATTTGAAGGCGACAACAAGCACTGGCTGAAGCTGGCTGCGATGACGACGAGAAAGACACGGAGCCAGTCCCACAGCTGCACTACGAACAGGAGGTGCAGCACGTTGTCCAGCATGGGCTCTGGCTGGCCACGGCAGCCGGAGTTCGAGAGCGAGCGCTGGGCGCGCTGGGCGAATTCCCCATGCGCCCGCAGGGCACGGTCGCGGGCGCGCTTATCGGAGGCGACATGCCGGAGTTCGGTCGGCAGCACGGGCACTTCGCGGACGCGCTCGAGCTCAGCCTGCTCAAGAGCACTGGCATCCCCGAAGTCGAGCGTGCAAACCACCTTTGGGCGCAGCAGGCCGCCGCGCTACAAGAGCATCGGTAACCGGGGCGCCCCCCCCCCCTTTCGCGGGCGGGCGTCGACGCGCGGCGGTCGGAGATCGCATTATCGCGCCAGCTCTCGCATTGCGACGCGCGAGTCCGGGAGGGAGAGGGCGCAACGGGGATTCAGAGGGGTGCCCTCCCCCCGCCAGCGGGGCGCAGTGCCGTGGGCTCCGAGTGCCGCGACCCTTTCGAAGACGAGGAGGACTGCATGGGGCACCGCCAGCCGTGGGACTACCACCTGGAAGCAGGAGGACACAGCCTGGGGCCAGACGCGGGACCAGCAGGAGCAGCAGGACATTTGCGCGGCGAGGGGCTAGGCCTCAGCCAGCCCCAGCGCGGCGAGGGGTTAGGCTACAGTAGGCCCCAACGCTGCGCGGGGCGAGGCCACAGTGGGCCCTGGTGCGGAGAGGGGTTAGACAGCAGCGGGCCCCAGCGCGGCGAGGGGCTAGGCCGCGGGTGTTGGCGGAATCGGCGCAGCAGTACTATCAGGAAGTTCCGACGATGATATATCTGTCACCACAACACGATGAATCTTATAATGTAACAGTCACCACGGCCTCGCTAGCCGTGCAGAAAGGCGTGGCTCCCTGGGCCACTTCAAACAAATGTAAAAGTACGAAACTCCCGCCCTTGAGCCAAAGCCACAATAAGGAAGGGCTTTGGGCAGGTAGAGCACAGGACTGAATGTATATAGCTAACACCGGTTATACTCTTCTCTGTCCTGGAACTACATGCATCGAGACCGCATGAGACTGCGAGTCGAATCAGAAAGAAAAGAATCATCACACAAAGACTCCAAGGGTTCCAAAAAGCCTCCCTCGTCTCCAATGGCGGCCTCCAAGGGTGCATCTTCGAGAGCGCCCTTGCCGTCGCGCTGCCTCCGACGTCCACTTTGGAACATCTCATCAAAAGTGCACTTCCAGCGCTGTGTAGTCAAACAATATTCCATCACATGCCGGGCTGGATATCCCGGCTTCGTCAAACTGTCTGCTAACATAGCTGGACCATTCACCCATCGAATAGAAACGTCCGTGCGCAAAATCTGCTCCTTAATGCCTCTAGCCCCCTCACCTGATCTGACACTGCGCATACCCAGCTGAGGAGACTCTGACTTCAAAAACGCATCGTAAATGCCGCGTGCATCTGTAATGAGCGCGCAGGTACTCTCTTGACCGCGTCGCCCAACTTCCAACGAGTCGGCTCAACTCCCTGTAACTCTGCCCACATCAATCTGGATAACCACAGCATCTCGTCACCGAGCGCGGTCGACTGCGTCTCGTTGTTGCTTGAACCCGAAATTTTACGAGGTAGCTTGAAATATCTCCATCCAAGTATCGGAACATTTGCCATGCTGCCATTTGCAAAATCCGGAGTCGAGAGGCCTGTCACCAGCCCGCCAGTCTTGCTGCCGTCGGGCCTGAGCTTGTCACTAGCATCGGCCCACTGCACCATCCATAACTCATGCCAGTCGTAGTTCTCGAACTGGTGGAATTTGATCACCTGCGAAGCGGATTTGCGCATATCCTTGACAAGCTTGTTGGCGTTTACCAGGCCACTGATCTTGGCGCTGCTGACTTGCGATAAAGCCAGCCCAACATACACAGCATATTGTGGAGACCATTGTTGTGCTCTCCAACTGGTTGTACCCAGTACTCCACGAAGTAGTGAAATCTCTTTCGGCTCGAGTGGTAGATGAGCCTGCTTCTTGCGATCAGCGTCGATCTCGGCCTCCGTAATGAATTTGTTCGTGTAGTCGTAGAGGTCCGACGTGATCGAAAAATCCTTGAACTGGCGAGCGCGTAGTCCACTGAATTCAGCCGGGCCGGAAGTCCATGCTCCCCATCGGTAGAGGTCCCTGATGGCCTTCTCCGCGTCCTCGTACAACTTCGACGTCTCGTCGCCACCGATGATGAAGTCACCCACGCGGACGCCAATGATACCCTTCAGCTGGCTATTGGAGTCCAACAAAATCCACACGCATTGGTCTGCACGTAGTTGTCACCAACCTCGGTCACGAAGTTTGCGTGATATGTCAAGCCACCATGCTCTCGGAGCCGTTGCCAAGCCATAGAAGGATTTGACCATCTTCAAAATCTGCGAGGGACGCCCCAAGTTCATCTGGAAAAGCATGAGCCACTTCCGTAGGAACCTTCACATTGAGACTCTCGAACTCCTCGCTCGCATCGGTCTGGAGGAAAGCTGAACTGACGTCGCCGAACTTAAGCTTGAACTTGTGCTGCGCGCACACCTGGAACAGCATATTGCGAGCCAGCTTCCCCAGCGTAGGCGCCGCCGTAGCGAGATCCGTCAGGCTCGGGTTCTGGTAGCCCAAAGTGACTAAGCGAGCCTTCGGCTTGCGTGCGCCACCCTCCTGGTACTTGTAGGTGAGAACCCAGCGCATCTTGAGCAATCGCGACTCGTCGATGTCAGTGAGCTCTTCCTGGGCGATCCGCTTCAGGACCTTGGTCACAATGACTTGGCTGATCTCCTTGCACATAGCCGCGTCAACCTCGAGCTGCTGCCCAGGCGCCAACTTGGAATAGGTGACCTCTGTCGCCTTGCCGTCGCCAGGCCTCTTGGAAAGCCAGACCGTAGAGTTTTGAAGGGAAGCTCCGATGTGATTAAAATCGGTCGCGACCTCGATAACTTTACGCCCGATGTTCGTGTCCTTCAGGTAGGCCGCGGACTGATGGTGCAGTTTGTCTCAGGCCTCCAGGTACCTGACATCGTCCACGAAGTCGCACGTCATGAAATCCATCTCGCCGAGCTTGATGCGCTTGGCCTCTGGCTCCGTTAAGTCACGTTCGTCTGCTTCACTACTGGGGCCCCCCCCTGCAGGATCCTGGTTTCCCGCGAAACCCTCTGCGACCGGCCCGTCCGCAGTGTCGGGTCCCACCCCAAATGGCTCTGCCGGGCTACCCTCTCGGGGAACTGCCGCGGCTTCGTCGCCAATCGGAGCACCTGCAGGGCCACTGGTGATCTCCTCTGGTACCGCCGAGGTCGCTCCTGGTCCATAGGACGCGTCGTAGGGAGATGCCTTGTGCTTCAACCGGACCCGCCTGATCGGCTTCCAGTCCTGATCATCCTTGATTTGGTCCCCTAGGTGAAGATCTCGGCCTGTTCTATCCTCATCTTCTGGGACAGGTATTCGAGACAAATCTGAAGGATCCTCTCGAGGGACTGGATGGAAGTTTGCACCGTCGTCTCCAGCCTGAGCACCATCATGAGATTCATGCCGGTCTCCATGGCGAAAATCTTCACCTGGTCCTGGTTGCTCTGGTAGGTCTGCAAGGCTCTCGGCAATCTCGCGCTCCGATGGTAGGTCGCCCGCCAAATCGATAAACTCACCACGCCCAGCACCTTGAAAAACATTGGAGGCGTTGGTCGGTGAATCCTCGTCAATGTTACCCTTGAGCGAAGCCACGACCACCTCGCGCTGACTGCTCGACCTCAGCTGTGTCGGATGACACCGAATAAGTCTCGTGCCATGCACGATCCACACCACCGAAATCTCGTCCTCGATCGAAGCGGACTCGTCGGCACGTTCACGCTTGAGGTTGACCTTCGGTTCGATGGCCAAAACTCTCGCAGGGCCAAACCACGAACCTCGGGATCCAGTGTTCTTGCCGCGACGGAAGTACATGGTCCAGTCGCCGATCTTGATCGAGAGAAGCTTCTGCCTCATGGAGTGCCGGAGCCGAGTCGCCACTGAACGAGCCTGCTCCTCCAGGTAGACCCGCTCGGCCACAAGACGATGAAGTTCGGTGTGTGCCAAGCCGCCCCCATTCTGGCGACCAGCCTCTTCTGCAAACTGGTAGCCCTGGTGGTTAGTACCGTACGCCCACTGGACTGGTGTGTAGCCCGACGCCTTGTGCTGGTTGTTGTGAGCGGCGCAGGCTAAGGACGCACAGTCAGCTAACGATAGCGCCGGCTCGTCTAAGGAGATGCGGCGAGCGGTCTTCTTGATCTGTCTCATAAGGATCTCCAAGTCAGCCGTAAGACCGTGGAACTCGCCCGCGCTCTGGATGATGCCCACGGCGTTCTTGCCACACCATTTGCGCAACTGGTTGCTCACGAAACCGCCGCCCGGGTCCGAAATCAAGAGCTGACACCGCGGCTTGTGCTGCCACCAGTTCTCCAGGAACGCCGACAACACCTGGGCGCCAGACGGCTCGAAATACGCCATCTTACCCTTAGTATCCTCCCCTTGAAAGCACTGCGACCTGCCAACTTGCAGGCCGCGTCCATGTAGAGCACCGCGAACAGCTTCCTGTGGTGCACCTCCAGCTCGAAGCAGTCCTGCTTCACCGTCTGCCACAGCTTGGGTGGCATAGAGAGTGACACCACGGCCTGGTGCTGCGTGTCCTGTGTCTCGGCGCAGGCATCGCAGATCAGCTCGTCCACGAGCGCCTGCTGCCAAACTGGACACCCGCGTCTCTGGAGCATCGCCTTCATGTTGGTATTGGACATATGTCCACCCAGAATGTGGAGGTCCCTCAGCCAGGATTTGACCTTGTCGAGCGTTGCGTCGTCCTCCGGCATCTTCTTGACATGCTTATCTATGCCCGACTCGACGCCACGCAGCTGCTGCTCGTCATCCTGCAGCGCGCTCATTGTCCAGAAGTCCTCCGCGAAATCCTGACCACGCAGATCCTTCGCGAAACCCTTGACCAATCTCCGAATCATCGGGTCTGGATAGTAGGCCGACGCCGCCACAGCGTCGTGACCCTCGAGCGTGCTGTGAGGATGATCCTTCGTACAGCGTAGCGCCATCCACTGCGTAAAATTCTCGTCACTGGTGCGGATGCCCCAAGACTTGCTCCTGAGCACGCCATGGTCATCGCGCATGCCGACTTGACACGCGCCGACTCTGACCATGCGGAGAGATCGCCCGAGGATCTTTTCCGCCTCGCGCCTGAGCCGGTTGAGCTCTGGCGTAGACCAACCGCTGCAGTTGTACGGCCACTCCCAGTATAGATCACCATCGTGTCGTAGAGTCTCCAAGGCCATATCCACACAGTGTCCATTCATGGCGCGAGCCCGAAGTCGCGATCGTAGAGAATTCTCCCAATTGCCAGGTCGTCGTTTGTGTTCGGGGGTAAGGTTCTGCATCAACGAGAAGTAGGTACATGGTGTCGAAAACCACGCCTTGCGAGGACACGCCGTATTGAACCATTCCTTGGCACGACTAGTGTCGTCCTTCTTGTTGAGGTCGTAGCCCTGCTCCAGGTTGATGCGCTGACAGTGGAAACCTTCATTCAACAGACCGGCTGTCAGCCTCGAAGTTGGAGAACACGCGACTTCAGCAAAGTCCACTCGCATTGCCGAGCCTGTCTGCACAAGGCCCATCATCAGCCCATTCACGAGCATGCTCAGCGCCGTCATGCCGCTCTGGATTGTGCGGCGCTGCTTGAGCGAAACTCGCTTCACTTCATGAGGACATCCCCCATGTCTCCCGGCACCGGCATCGCCACGAAGTCCTCCTGCTTCACCTTCAGGCGCCTGACTCCCCGGGTCAGGACTGCCCACTTGTTGAAGAGGTCCTTCTGCTTGGTCGCGAGCGTGGGCGTCTCGTCCGGGTCCGCTGCGGCACTCGAGACCACATCCCACGTGCTGCTGCGGGGTGTTGAATCCGATGCCGCAGAGCTTGGGTCCGCTCCGACCGCGCGCGCGGTGCGCGCCGCAGTCGGCACTCTGGTAGTTGGTCTGGTTGCCGTCGGCGGTCTCCCTGGATCGGTCTTGATCTCGAGCTTGACGCCCTCGGTCTTTGTCTTGCGGGCTGTCCAGTAGCCCTCCTTGTCCGGATCGCTCTTGATGTAGTGCCCCGTCTCGATGATGCGCTCCGCCTCGATGGCCTTCATGTGCCCCTCGACCCTCGCGGCCGTCGGCGCGTCGCCCGATTCCTGTAGTCGGCGAAGGGCCACCGTTACCAGGGCCGTCTTCGGCTCCTTGCGGTACTTGCCACTGCGCCCTTTCTTCGGAGCGTAGTCCAGCCTGAAAGCGCACGTCTCGCACGTCAGCCACACCCCGAAGCGGTTGTTGGTGCAGCTCGACACGGTGTGGGTCCCCTGGCACGGCCAGCTGGTCACGCGAGGATCCCTCGGATCGGCCCCCTTGCTGAGAGACCAGTCCGTCTGCTCTGCCGCCGCACATGTACGTAGATCGGGGTAGAGCTTCTTGTCGCCCATCAGGACGAAACATGGAAGATTGAACAGCACTGAGCTTGTCTCGAATACCCTGGAGCCGAGACGCCAATGGTGCAGTCGGCGTTGGACGAAACCAAATTTCGGTACGAATCGCACTGACCCCGTCCGGCAGTGGACGGCAAAGCCACGTCCCAGGGGTTGCAATCGTCACTGGGCCGTCGTCAATAACCACTGAACTGTGTAAACACGTCGTCCTACGCCAGCACATCCCAAAACGTCGGGCATCATCAGGGCGATCGAAGGTTCTTCTCGAAAACCAATCTTCTCGAACATATCTGCTGAGTTCCGATTCATCTGGTTCTGGACTGTGTCCCGTCATTTGGTTTTGAATCTTAATTTCATGGCATGGTAGAGTGCAGTCTGTTTCCAGCCGTGGATGTTTAACATTCTGTAACTGTAATCGTACACCTATCATCAGACAACCCAGGCCGATACCCTGATACTGTGCTCCCTCTTTTCTCTGGTCACCTGTGGGTCCCGGGGGGAACGGAACTCCGGCGCGCTGCTCCTAGTTGCCGGCCGAACTCAGGACGTCCAGCAAACAGTGGCCGCCCTTGCCCTTCCGGAGCTGAACCTTCGTGGTCTTGTCGTCGCTGAGGTAGATTTCCAGCTCGTTCCTGCGAAGGGAGACGTCGTGCTGGTCCAGCCAGTCCACCCCTGCGAGCACTGGCACCTCATCAGCGTCTAGTAAGTAGATGCCCAGCCAGCCGATGGTCGCGAAGAGCCGTACCTTGGACAGCGCCTGGCCCCACTGGCCATTCGCGAACTTGAACCAGGGCCTGTCGGATGCATCCACCTCGATCTTCGAATCTGGGAACTTCTCGGTGACCTCTGAAACCAACTTCTCGACGGCGTCGCCGCCTCCAGCTGTCGTCGTAGCTCCGCAGTCAAGGACAATATCCGTTGGCGGGGGGCACGAAAGAGACAGGATCATGTCCATGCAGAAGATGCCCCCGATGTAGTGCACCTTGCCCTTCTTGCTCTTGCCCTTGGACCCGCCCTTGGCGGAGCTCTTACCTTTGCTGGAGTAGCGGTCGGGACACTGCCTCCAGTAGTGGTCTGGCCGACCACAGATCAGGCATCCACGTCCTGTAGGTCCTGCCGATGATCCCTTCACTTGGTAGCCGCCCTTCGTGCCGTCCTTGCCAGAGCCCTCCTGCGGAAAGAACCCCTTGTTCTTTCTCGCCTCTGCCACTGCACTCCTGGCCTCGGAAAGAGTCCGATTCGCCTCGGCGGCAAGGATCTCGGCAGCATTCACCTGCTCGTCCAAATACTAGTCGTCGTCCGTCGCATGCGTAGTCAAGTCTGGTGTCCATGTCACTGCTGTTGCCTGTCCCCACTGGTCTGGCGTGGTGTTCCATCCAGCGTCGTTGTTGGACCAATCCCACGAGCTGGCGGCCCACGTCGTTTGGCCCCCCTCGTCCGCATAGAAGGCACACCACCAGACATCCTTGTTCTCATCATAACTCCAGTCGACCGTCCACGATGATTCTTCACCGCGGATCGCCGCACACATGTCGCCCATCTCCTCCACGCTCTCGAGTGCGAAGAATCTGCCTCTGAAACCACGGCCCTGCTGCTGAGCTGGTTTGTCGCGGTCTCGCAGGTCTCGATCACCCCAAAATGCGCGAAGCTGCGTGACGATGGATTCGTATCGAGTGTCGTTCTGAGTGCCTGCCAGGATCATCTGGCGTTCTTCTCTACTCAGGCGAGCGTTGTGCAGGAGCCTATACTCACGAAGCTCTGCCTCGAAGAAACTCGCGTCGGTCTCAGACCTGGCCACGGAAACTCCTGACTTGGCCGACATCACCGACTTCTTCTCTGTTGCGTCCACGGCCTCGACGTCTTCCTCGATCTCTGCCGTCTCTTCGAACTCCTCGTTCGGAGGCTCCTTGACTGTAGACGTCGCCGTTCGCCCCGTTCGTGCACTCGCCTGAACTGCTTCTCGTCGCAGTCGGTCTGAACGTAGTCGCTTCAAGGCCGACCGCATATCTCTGAACAAGTTGTCCTCTCGAATCACAAACTCGCCAATCACCCCGCCGGGTCTGCGAATCACTTGATCGTAGTTGCGAATATTCTGGCACGCGTCTGGGATCGGCATCTTACCTAGAGGACCTTCTCTCAAGTGTTTGAGCAGCGCTTCTGCACCTCCTGCCACGGAGCCGTTCGGTCTCATATCTTCCACGGCCTCTTTCGCAGCGCCCCGTAGCGCAGTCCACAGACGAGCCACAGTGAGGTTCCTCTCATTCTCCTTCATGCCAGCTCGGCACCACAGAACGGCATTCTCATAACTCTCGAACGTCAGTGTATCTCCACTCCAGGTCGGCACTCCCTGCTCATTAGTCTCACACCCAGCGGTCGGCTTAATTCTGGGTCTCCACGATGGCTCCGCTGCCATGTTGGCGGAATCGGCGCAGCAGTAATATCAAGAAGTTCCGAGGATGATATATCTCCCACCACAGCACGATGAATCTTATAATGTAACAGTCGCCACGGCCTCGCTAGCCGTGCAAAAAGGCGTGGCTCGTTGGGCCACGTCAAACAAATGTAAAAGTATGAAACTCCCGCCCTTGAGCCAAAGCCACAACAAGGAAGGGCTTCGGGCAGGTAGAGCACAGGACTGAATGTATATAGCCAACAGCGGGGGTCCCCGGCGCGGCGAGGGGCCAGGCCGCAGAGGTCCCAAGTGGGGCGAGGGGTCAGGCCAGGGCAGCCCCTAGCGGCGCGAGCGGCAAGACCACGGCCAGCCCCAGCGCGGCGAGGGGTCAGACCACGGCAGGCCCCAACGCGGCGAAGGGTTAGGCCACAGCAACGAGGGCCAGCCCACGGCCGCCCAGAAGGTTACACAGAGGGAATACAAAGGGGTGGCTTTTCCCCGCCAGATAGACGCAGCACCGTGGACATCAATTACCACGACCCCTTCGAGGACGAGGGGGGCTGCATTGAGTACCACTAGCAGTGGGACATATACCAGGACGCAGGGGAAGAGGGCCGGGCGCCAGCAGCAGGACCAACAGGAGCAGAACCACAGCCTGGCGAGGAGCCAGGCAGCAGCATTCACAGCGCGGCGAGGGGCGAGGCCACATGGGGCCCCAGCGCGGCGAGGGGTTCGGCCACAGTGCACACCGCGCGCCGACGAGGGGCAATCCAGCAGAGCCGCCGCGAGACATGGGCCTGCCCCCGCCCGGGCTCTCGGAGGAGATCCAGCGCATGGGGGGCGCGTTGACGAAGACTGCGCGGCGATGCGACTCGACCTCCAGGGATGGGCAGCAACGTGGATGGATGACCTATTCCATGGTCCGACATCCAGTGAGTAGTGGATGACCTGGTGTCTGCCCTTCCTCGAAGAGGTGATTGGCAACGGCGGTGGCGCTGGGCCCCTGCAGCAGATCAGAAGATGGTTCCCGCGCGCCAGCCTCGGGGGCATCCTCTGGGACCAGCGCGAGGGCGATCGCACGGCGGCAAGCTGCTCCCCGACGCCATGCTTTCCCGAGAAGGCTGGCGGGCAATGCCCCCATGGGGCGCTGCGACCTGGAGATGCAACACAGGAGAGAACTGGCAGCACTACGAGACATGATGCGTCGCACACTTGGGGGCAGAGCGCCAGGGCGCAGACCAGAATCCCGGCCGCAAGTTGCGACGGCAGGACGAGCAGCAGGTCAGACGCAGGAGCGAGAAGAACAACCAGGACAAGAGCAGGCAGCATAATAACAACGGGAGACGCAGAGCACGCAGATGGCACAGAAGCGAGGAGTGGCCAGAGAAGCCGAAGTAAGCACAAGGCCAGCCTCAAGCGAGTCAACCATGCGCTGCAGCAGGCATGGACGAGGCAACAGCTAGCACTCCTGCTCCAGAACCCGAACTGCGGCAGGACCAAAGACGACGGTGTAGCCAAGGAGCAGCAGGAGCAGCTGCTGGCAGTGCTCGGCCCCATAGCTGGCGGGGCCCTAGCCGACCCAGGCACTTGCAGCGACGTTGCGCAGGAGGTCAAGAGCGCAGCCAAGCCACTCACCAAAGGAGCGAACAAGGCGTACATCAAATGCGTGCATGACGCATCGGCAGGCAGCGCGAAGATGGCCCACGCGCGCACCACGGCGGCCGAGTGCAGCCACCTGGAGGACATCCTGGACCATGAGGGCAAGGTGGTCACGCACCCGGAGCAGCTGGTGGACCTGCGCAAGGAGGCCCGTCAGCGCAAGTGGACGAGGGACGCCCAGAAGGCCGAGCAGATCCAGGCAGCGTTGCAGAAACTCCGCAAGGCAGCCAGTGCACAGGAGCCCAACCTGGAACCACTAAACCAGTACAGCATCCGCTCCATCATCCGGCACCTCAAGCGACGCGCAGCAGGACGCGGGGCAGACTGGTGGAGGGCGCCAGAGCTGAGGGCCATGGGAGAGCAGGGGCTCATGGAGTTCGTGCAGTGCTTGCAGAATCGAGAGGCTCGAGCAGCTTGGCCCTGGCAGTCCTACATGGTGCTGGAGCTCCTGCTGGGAAAAGAAGCCAGGGATCGGAGGACAGCGGCCGATAGGCCTCATGCCCATGCCCCACCGAAAATGGGGCGCGGCCAGGAGGCCCATCATCTCAACCTGGAGCAGAGCGGCAGCAGGGTTCTGGGGCACGGCCTTGGCAATGCCATCAGCCCTCCGCGCGGCGATGCGCAGGCTGATGAGAGCAGAAGCGGCAGTTCAGATGGGCCCCCAGGCGACAGGGATCTTCTACGACGCAGCCAACTTCTACGACAACACTGGCCTCGACCAGCTGATCGAGAAGGTCAACGACCTCCACTGCCCCCTGCTGCCGTCAACCATGGCCATTCAGATGTACCTCGCCCCGGGGGCGGTCATGGCACACCGCCTCTTCTCCGACACTTTCGAGCCAGCCAACAGCATGGTTGCTGGCTGCGGGCAAGCAGCGGACCTCACGCGACCGCCCCTTTTATGGAATTTTGGGCGCGGCTCACAGGCACTGCATCTTCGTAGTCA